GTATTATTTGACTATAAAAGAAATCAAGGATATTTGGGAACAACGTACCCAGAAATTACTCTTAAGATTGTCTGTCACTATAAAAATGGATTTAACAGAGGCTACAGAAGAGGAACAGATTTTACTGGACATAATAGAAACTGAAGCTGATGTGAATGTGGATCTGAAAATGGACTTAAAAATGCCAGATTACACGAGTGATATATATTTAAAAAAGCCACATTGGATTTATAAATGAAACCGGCTGATGTCTTAATAATTAAAGGGGACATACAAATAATAAATCAGAAGAGTGACTTGGATAGCTTTCTTATCTTGGATTTACAAAAGAGACATGTTAAACTAGCGAAGGAATTTTTGAGAGGAGACACAGAGAAAATGATTGTGGGACAATATTTTAAGGTATTAAAGATCAAGCTTTTAAAAAGTAAACAGAAGGAATATAAAGTGTATTTATTTGTTCAGGGTTAAAATATATATGTTGTGGTTTCTGGTAGCTCTTTATGGATTTCTTTACCAGGACTGAATGACAAGGCTTTAAAGATTTGTTTATAGATAACAGATATGGGGAGATATTTCTTTTGCTTTATGTTTTAGAGAAAGTGATAAGTTGGAATATAAAATGGATATATTTGATTAAGGTTAAAATATGTAAGTTATTATTTCTGGTTGCTCTTAATTGAATTTTGCTGATTATGACTAAATGAGTTTTTTACAATTTGTTTATTGATAAGAGATGAGATATGGGAAGAAGAGATTTTTTACTGAAATAGTGAAGGTGTTAAGTTACTGAAATTGTATATACAGTGGTACCTCTACTTACGAATGCCCCTACTTACGAATTTTTCGAGATACGACCAGCTCCGGCCCCAAAAATTTACCTCTGCTTACGAACTCGCTTCAACTTACGAACCGGATCCACGGCCATTTTCCGACCATTCCACGTGATCCGCGGCCATTTTTCCACCCATTCCACGTGGTCCGTGGCCATTTCCCCCCCATTCCACATGGTCCGCGGCCATTTTCCCACCCATTCCACGTGGTCCGTGGCCATTTTTCCGCCCTGCCGCGTGGTCCACGGCCATTTTCCACCCGTTCCACGTGGTCCGCTGCCATTTTTCCGCCCCTGCCGCGTGGTCCGCAGCCATTTTTCCGCCCTTCCGCGTGGTCCGCGGCCATGTTTCCGCCCATGCCACGTGGTCCGCGGCCATTTTCCACCCATTCCACGTGGTCTGCGGCCATTTTTCCGCCTGTGCCATGTGGTCCGCGGCCGTTTTTCCGCCCTGCCGCGTGGTCCGCAGCCATTTTCCGCTCTGCCGCGTGGTCCGCGGTCATTTTCTGCCTGTTCCACGTGGTCCATGGCCGTTTTTCCGCCTGTGATGCATGGTCCGCGGACGCCGGAATTAACAGTAATTACCGGATTAACGGTAATTACATTGAACCTTATGGGAAAATTTACTTTGACTTGCGACCAACTCGACTTGCGATCAGTGTCACGGAACGGATTAAGTTCATAAGTAGAGATACCACTGTACTTATCTGGAGGGGGGGAGAGTCATTTCTTTTTATGTCTTTTCACCTTTCCCTCTGTACCTTTTTTTTACTTTTTATATTCTTCTTGGCTTGTATTAGGTTTTTTATCTTTGTATTTGTAAACTTTAATAAAATTATTATATAAAAAAAAAGTCCTGTTTTAGTAGGCATTAAGTGACCGATGTATTAATTCTCTGTTTGAGTGTTTGCAAAAGGGCTGACATCTTTGTATTCTGTTGACTAATGTTGACACACACACACAGTTATCTTATAAACGACCTAGGGTCCCTGGAAATGGGTGATATATAAATTCTTCTAAATAAAATTATCAATAAATTAGCAAATAATAGCTTTTTTCCTGGATTTCTGGGTTGCCTTAGCTGAGGGAAAACCAAGAAGAATGGTGTTGCAGTGGCTGCAGTCCTTTCTGGAAAGATGAATTTATTAACGTTGGTTAAGTCTTGCTAATCTCATGGTATTTGTTTGGCTTTGCTGTGTCTTACTGTTGTTGTTATTATGATGGTTGGTCGCACAGTCAGCCAGATGTTTAGACTGGATTTGGCATTTTTATACACCTATCGAGTCCTTCCCAAGGACTGGGAT